CCTTTCTCCTACGGCAAATTGTTTTTTTTTTTTTTTAATAAATATACGTTGACGTTATTTTTTTCTTTCTTTTGTAAATATACAGGGTGGTTGGTAACTGGTGGTACATGCGGAAAGGGGGGATTTTTTTTTTAATTTTTCCATCGAGACAACGATCTACAGCGAGATCCGTTATAACGCACCGCACGCGTACCCACCGAAAATTCAAAGTCGATTTTCTCGAAAACAAAGCCTCGAACGAAAAATTTTTATTCTATATTTTCGACTTCTTTTTTCGCGTAGAATCACCCCCTTCTCGCTTGTTACCAATCACCCTGTATATATTACAAATATATTTTTTTAACAATTATATCTTTGACGAGCATAGTCTGTTTGGAGGTTTAGTTAGCAGAAAGAACGAAACGAAATCGTAGAGTAATAGATGCAGCTGAACATTATTATTTTTTCTATGTACGTTGTTCGTTCTACGAATATTCTTGAAATGAAACTTTTAATTTAATTCGTACCTAGTTTAATTTATGCACAAGCATAAAATGGAAGTTAATAGAAATACGTATCTATAATTAAAATTACGGACGATCAAATTATCGCAATATGTGGTACAATAGCACATTGTTATCGTGACAATAAATAATGCTCCCCCCTGACATTCATTTATTACAGTCAATAAATCAGCAACGAATACTATACTGTTTAGCGTAATCTGAGAGTCACGAGTGCATTTATTCAATCTATTAGTTTTCTTTATCTCGTGTAAAAATGTTATTTAAAAGTAGCTCTGTATAATAAGAAGTTATGGTGAAACAGTATGGAATAAAGTTACGCGTACTATTTTCAGTTAATATACCTACTTTGTACGCTGACAGCAGGTTCATTTTTTCATTTGTTATATTTCTAATTGAAATTGAATAAACAAAATCGAATATGTGTTCTAGTAAATAGTTTGAAATTCATAAATTTCTTTAAGATACGGTATCACGAAGTTTCGCATATCGTAACAATTAAATAAATTAATATTTATGTCGTTAGTATCTCGTCGAGTAGTTCATAGTAGCTTATCAGCGTTTGAAATTTTTGATCGATTTGTAACAATGAGACACGAGTGTTATTAAAATAAAGAATAAAAAATATATAATAAGAATAAATCAACGACTAAAAAATCACCTACCGAGGGATACGATAGATTATCGATTCAAATTATTTATTATTCGAATTATCCGATTTTAGATATCGTCGTTTCAATTAATCGCGATAATCCTTTTATCGGTTGAGAAAAACCTTCTCCTTTTTTATCTAACTCGCAGTTTACTTAAGACATAATTTGGGAATAAAAATGCTTCCGAAGTAACACAAAAGGATTTCATTTTTAAGAATCAATTCCATTGCTTAATTCCATCTTATTCGTAGCTTAATTTTATTGATTCAAGTATAGAATCTCGCTACAGCTTTTTTTTTCCATCCGTAATTTTATAATTAAATTCTGTATAATTCTGTATAAATCAGCAAACGCTTGTACGTTTCTAAGCAAAGAATAGAATTAACGAGGCTGCTTGTTAGAATCAACGAAAAAGATGACAAGATATCTAAAAAATATTTCTCTCGAGATTTTCGCATCTGTATTTTTGTCGATCGTGTTTTTAAATCATTTCTTCAGATTCATTTCTTACTGCGCCATCCAAAACGTATTTTATTACTATACAATTATACCGATCAGTTTGTCCGTGCCCAGTTTTCGACCCGAAGCACTGTAATCTGAGAAACTGTAATCATATTGGTGGTTTTCTCTGATAAGCAAAGCAAATTCCGGTCGTAGGAGATTATATTAAAACCTGTTAGTAGAATATTTACACAAGGGGAATGTATATGGAAAAAAGGGAGATAGGAAATATCCTACGACAAGTATCGCGTTTCGTTATTAAGAAATACCAAAAAATGTTAGAAATATTAAAAATATCGTTACTATCTATATTGTAATATACTTCGATATACTTCACCGTATTAATTCTCGCAAACGTTAAAAATTGATTTTTCAATTTTTAATTTTGCTCAATGGCGAAGTACACCAGACCGGGTTAAAGCGTAATCTCGTCGAGTATATCGCGTGTGTTACTTTTGCCTCGGTCGAAAGTCGATATTCGGTGCACTCGTACCGCAACGGGTCACTTTTACGGTGCAATTCGACTTGCTGCTTTCTTGCAAATTATACTCAACCGCTTCCGTCTGCTTTGATGCGCCAGCAGCTTCCGGGTCAGTTCGTTTTTTTCTGCTTCTCCGTAACGATCCCAAGGACTTCCCGCAGGTTGCGTGCACTCGCCGGAGTTATCGCTTTTTTCTCAACCCAGTCCTTTCTTCTTTTTCTTCTTCTCTTTCTACCTTATCTTTTTCTTTTTTATCCTGTTTTTTTTTCAACGCGCTATTGGGATAGATACAGTTCAAAGAGTAGAAAAATTCCCTTTCGATCGAAGCGACATAAATGTGTTCTATTTCGAACTATTTAAAGATCGTCGAAGAAACGTGCAGGAACTCGAACGATACACCTCGTTCGCGACTTTTTTCGATCATATTACATCGTGCAATTGTATGAAATGTTCGATGACAAAACGGATATTTCAGCGGCGAATATTACGTCTCTGCAGCGCACTACTTCAACACTGTACGAATAGGTTCAATCTATTTAAACCTGTAAATCAAGCAACATTAGTAGGCCAATAAGAAGTGTTCATCGCTAAGCAAACATTAAATGGTCACCTTCAAGTGCTTTCAACGTATGCATGCTCCGATTGCCACAGCTTGAATCACGTATTACGCCTATCTACCATAAAAAGTGACGATAACAAGATGATCTCACTAGCTGTAGTAGCTAATTGGAATAATCTCTTTTCAGGTAATTTCGCGAATCAACGAGAATATTGGAAAAGATCGAACAAAGAGACTCGATTCGAAAAGCTCGACGCGAAAGACGGGTAATTCTATCGCGTAGTGAAATTTCAATTTTGATCTACAGGGTGTTCCGTTTAACTCCGGAGATGGCGAAACATCTTACGAGAGATCGAGGTTACGAACGAATTATTCTCAAGCCTTTCTGTACAAGCAGAAATCCATTTCTTTCGTCTTTCTCGTATACTTAGGCACGCGTATACATTTGATAAGAGATAAATCGCGAAAATTAATCAGATACGTTTATCTCCATAGCTACTCGATCGAAGTTTTCCAAACCAAATAGAAAACCGTTGCTTTCGTCGCTGAAATTACACGAAATGAATTTTTATTCGACGTCGTTGGCCTCGACGATGCGTTTTTGTCTCTCACGATCGATGTCAGTCGAGCATCGGTACGTGTATCAGTTACGTTTCGTACAATGTCGAACGATCGGCCGATCATTGTACAGTCACTCGGCAACACAACACTGACCTTACCAGAACCGGTCGTTTGACCGGTTTCAAAATTTAGTCTAAAATTGTACGTTCGTCGTTATCTCTTTCGTTCGTCCTTCGTGTAATCTATATGGATAAAAATTCGGCAATTGATTAATCGGATGATACGTGAATTAGCATAAAGTTAAGACGGATAAAAGAAATAACGACGAATGTGTTTTTTTTTTATTTAAAATTTCACATTCACAATTTGTCCAATTTGGACATTTGGTAGAATTTTTTATCTGTTTGATTATCATGTGGGTGGCTACGCCCAATGTGGCACCATCTTCGTGTCTGTTAAGATATATCCTTCGTGACGACGAATGTGTAGAGCTTTAAACTACATTTTAGAAGCGGTCACTCGATCCGGCTTGGTAAAGTTAGCGTTAAAAAGTAAACATCTAATCCTGGTAAACGCACGCCTATGCAAACAAATATCAGGGCCTTTAAGCTTCGCTACGATAAACAATAAAACACGTACACGTAGAAATTACGATCTTGCAACAAATATAATCTGTTTTCCCATAAATGCGACAGAAGGCTTGTAAAACGCTTCGTGTCATCGTTAGCTTTACTCCTCGAATCGTACTCCTCGCGTCTGACGATTTAAAAGTTGAACAGTCAGCCGGCACGGAACTCGCCTAACCCAGTATCGTCTTCGTTTACTCTTGACCCTGAGTGGGCCGTGTAAGTCACCCACTTTCCCGCTTTAGCGGCGCGACTTACGACACTGGCGCGCGCGCCATCAAAATTTACGTTCCGCCCGGCTATTTTCGATGCGACGCGACCGCAGTCTATTCTCGTTTGCGTCGAACGACGGAAGGAACGTCGCTCTTCCGTCCCTGTTTCGCGATCCTCCGTCGTTTTCTCCGGCCGCGCCGTTCCAGGA